CGGTCGCTGTGCCAGAGGAATAGTAGATTGAAGTCATGTTGGCAGTACACAAGCAGAGCTCTAAATGGGACCCTGGAAACTACAAACTGATGATTTTGACTTTCATCTTACCAGGGGTGGTAGAATCTTCAGCAGAGAATAGGACACTGACTGCATGAGTCTCTTTGGAGAGTCACTGTGGTGTCTTTAAAGGCAAATCCTGTTTCACTAAACTGCTGGACTCTATGAGGGTGTCAGTAAGCATGTGGATGAAGGGCATCCCAGAAACATAATGGACTTTTAAAAGCCTTTAACAATGTTCTATATCAACTCTTATTTTTAAAAAAGTATTGGTGGAAATGTTCATTACTAGTCTTGCAGCTGTCTAGAGTTGAAAACTAAATAGGGTATAGTGATCACTTTTTTTTGAATGGTATAGTCTGTAGTCATGTCCCTTAGGGATTCATGCTGGGAGCAATTCAGGTCAACATCTTAATTCATGACCTGAAGAAGGTAGTGAACAGAAGTTTGTGGGCAATGATAAGTTCTTCTGTGTGGTCAAATGCTATGCCAAGCAAAGGAACTCAAAAAGGACTCACAAAACAGAGTAGGTAGGCAAATTAGTGGTAGAAGAGCTTTAAATGTGAAGTAAAGCATCTAGGTAAAAGTAATCTAAACCTTCACACAGTTTTGAGCTGAATCACAATGCAGGAAAAGTCTTGGAGTCATCACTGGCAGTTCCCTGGAGTCATTGGCTCAGCACAAGTAATTTTTGAAAAAGACAATAATATGTCATCATTGCCATATCACCAGGAAGGGTATTGAGAACAAGACAGAGGTGATGTTTTGTGACTATACAAAACCTTAATGAGGCCATATCTTGAATATTGGGTAGAGCTTTAGTGTCTGCATCTCAAGAAGGAAGTAGTGAATTAGAGATAATACAAAGAGGGGGAATTAATGCTACAGGGGATAGAGTAGCTGCCTCAAAAGGAAAAATTTTGAAGTCTGGGATGCTTCAATTCAAAGAGGAGAAGGCTGAGGTGTAGATGCAATCAAAGCTTACAAAATCAGAAAAGCACTAGATAAACTGAATGTGGAATTGTTTACCACATTGTGCAATACAAGAACCAAGTGGCATTAAAAACTAGTAGAGTTTAGTGGATAAATTAAAGTACTTCTTTAGACATCAGATTTGAACCTCTGGAGCTTGTTGCTGCATAAGGTTGTGAAATGGGCAGTATCAGCAGGTTCAGAAAGGGACGGGACGCATTCATGCGTGTCGTGGTTTAGGCCCAGCCGGCACTTGAGCACCACATGGCTGCTTGCCATGGGATGAGGAGGAGAGTCCAAAGAACAAAAGAAAAGGTAAAACCTCATGAGTTGAGACAAGGACAGGGAGTGATCGCTCACCAGTTATGGTCACGGGCAAAACAGAGTCAACTTGGGAAAAAAATCAATTTAATTTGTTACCAATCAAATCGGAGTAGGATAACGAGAAGTAAAACCAAATCTTAAAAACACCTTCCCACTACCCCTCCCTTCTTTCCAGGCTCAACTTCACTCCCATTTTTCTCTACCTCCTCCCCCCAGCAGTGCAAGGGGACAAGGAATGTACTCAGTTCATCACACGTTGTCTGTACTGCTCCTTCATCTTCAAGGGGAAGACTCCTCACGCTCTCCCCCTGCTCCAGCGTGGGGTCCCTCCCCTGGGAGACAGTCCTCCACAAACTTCTCCAATGTAGAGTCCTTCCCATGGGCTGCAGTTCTCCACTAACTGCTCAAGCGTGGCTCCTTTCCATGGGGTGCAGTCCCTCAGGAACAGACTGCTCCAGCGCAGGCTTCCCGTGGGGTCATGGCCTCCTATGGGCACAGCCACCTGCTCTGGGGTGGGGTCCTCCTGGAGCTGCAGGTGGAATACCTGCCCCACCGCTGACCTCCGTGGCTGCAGGGGCACAGCTGCCACCTCACCACAGGCTGCAGGGGAACCTCTGCTCTGGTGCGCTTCCTCCCCTCCTTCTTCACTGTCTGCAGAGTTGTTTCTCTCACATCCCACCCCTCTCTCCACAGCCAGATCCCAGCAGGTTTTTTTTCCTCTTAAGTGTTATCACAGAGATCAACTGTCACTGTTGGGCTTGGCCTTGGCCCGAGGCGGGTCTGACTTGGAGCTGGGGAAGCTTCTGTCAGCTTCTCCCAGGAGCCACCCCTGTAGCACCACCACCCCACTCCCCGCTACCAAAACCCTGCCGCACAAACCCAGTACAATGGGGAACACGGACACTAACAGAACTGGACCAGGGATGATATCTTCTGATATTCCCTAGTACAACAATTATGGATGCTGGAGAAGTATGAGAGGAAGATACTGTAGCAAGCAATAGGCTCATTGTGCTCACCTGAAATGCCATCTCTTGTTGCTACTCCTGGAAACAGTGCTAGGCTACAGCTACCTCTGTTGTGATCCAGTAGGATATTATTTCTTACATTCTTATGTTTTGGTTGTTTACTGACGACATTTGCTCAGAATTTTAAATGGGCTCATGGCAGGGGTTGACTGAGTTTGTCAGAGACAATAGCTTCTCCTACTTGTGATCCACTGGTATTGCTCTGTGCCAGAAAGGAAGGGTACACTGGGCCTTTATTTTACTGGTATTGTATACATCTTCACTTCTTCCAGTTTCTTTGTATCCAAAGTTATCCAATCAAAGTGATGGAGTACTGTAGCTTAATGAGTAACCACATTTGAGCTGATGCACGGTGACCGACCAAGTACAGCAATTACCTGCCCTTCTTGCCAAGTAAAACACAGTAGCTTAAACCGTGATTTAGCCTGACAAATGATTTGTGGTTTAAGCCTAGTGCCTCCTGATTCACAGACCGACATATAGTCAATTACTGCAATTTGGGAGATGAATGTTAACTCATTATGCTCCAGTACTGAAATTTTTTCCAACTGAAATCTCTACCCTTCTGAACACTTTTAAAATATTTTCTGCCCCTTTTATCAGGCTTTTTCTTCACAGTGTTCAGCATTCTAGCCTTACTTACAAAAAGACTATGTGTGTTTGAGGATCGGAAGTGAGTATAACCTGCTAGGATCCAGAACTGTGGATTCAACTCAACAAATGCTGTTCAGATCACTTGGTGTTTTGGTAACTGATGTAATGTCAAAGCCACCGATGCAATGAAACACACGTGCAGTCTTGGCTGTGGAAGCAACGTGTGACAGAGCTGGATCAATGACTGCATAGCTTTTAAAGGGAGTCCTTGTCAACACAAGTGCGACAGAGCACCATCTCCTCTCTGTCCGTGACTAGAAGAAAGGAATGAGAAACCACTGTGAACCAGATGATTATTCCTTCTAAATGAAATAGGGGTATTACAGAATCACAGAATGTTAGAGATTGGAAGGGACCTCGAAAGATCATCCAGTCCAATGCCCCTGCCGGAGCAGGACACCTAGATCAGATCACACAGGAACGCATCCAGGCGGGCTTTGAATGTCTCCAGAGAAGGAGACTCCACACCCTCTCTGGGCAGCCTGTTCCAGTGCTCTGTCACCCTCACCCTGAAGAAGTTTTGAAGAAGTATTGAGCTTAGTATTTTCTGTACAGCTCATTTTTTTATTCTTTGTGTCTTGAAGAAGGTACATTTGGTGCATCTTGCTGCACTTTGTCTTGTGCACAGAAGATTGCAGGTCAAGTAAGCATGAGGAAATTAAAAGAAAAAAAAAGGAAAAAAAACTGTGGGAAAGGTA